GATTACGAAAAATAATGGATTAGAATTGATTCGATTTTTAATCAATTATCCCGATTTTCTGTCAGAAAATCGATTTTAATGGATTTTCGCAGCAAAAAATCGATTTTAATCGATTATTATTTAGAATTTAATCAAAAATTGGTACTTTTAATCGATTTTTTATGACTTTTTTTGAAAAATCGATTTTAATCAGATTTTTCGCGTTTTTTTTTACATGGGCACACCACACACGCACACCCACACCCATACTTGAAAGTATATGAAATATGATAAAAGAACAGACGATGAATGTAATTCTAATAAAGCATATGCATAATTCTATTAAGATTTTTTTTTTTATTATTATCAATAAAATAACAGTTTAATTTTAATCATTGATGAGCATCAATTAAAAGCTGCATAGACTATAGAATAAGATTGATTTTGTAGATGCTTTAATTAAAGAAAAATCTTTTGAAAGTAACATTGAAATCGAAAATTGTTTATGAGTTTTTTTGTACTCTTTTTGTTTTGACAAATCATCGAAATAAAAGAGAGGTTCAAAAATTTAATAATGAAGCAACAAGTGATAGATTGGTTCTCCGGAAAAACCTCGAAACTAAAATGTCGAAACTAAAAATATCGAAAGTAAAAACACCGAAAAAAAAATGTCGAAAGACAAACTTATAATAAATAACAGGCAATATCTTTTCTTTATCTAATATTATACATTGTTTTTCGACATTTTTATTTTCGTCATTTTTATTTTCGACTTTTTTGTCTTCGACATTTTAACTTTCGACCAAATTCAGGTTTACCTATTTTATTCTTGTCATCAAAATGACAATAATGCATAAGAAATCGAAAAAATCTTGCTGATATTTTCTTCCATGGATCATTTTTCTCGCCAATAGTATACATTTAACATTGCTTTTTTCATTCTTCTCCTCTTCTATAGGTAGTGATCGGATGTATTTTTATTCTTATTCTTCTCTATCTATCTAGTATATATACGAGCACATATATATAATCGTGAGCTCTGCTTCTGATTTACTCTTTCAAGCTAGCAAACTAATTAATTTTATCTTGTGTGAAAAAACTGGAACACATGAAAAAGAAGCAATCATAGAATTATGTGGACTTATTTACAGGGTTTAGCAAATGTATAATCATGCAAATAATGTAAATAATAACATTCATATACCCGTTGAATTACAAGGGGTTGGTATGGAACTTTACGAAAGGAGAATTTAAATTATTTTTAGATTGTTTATATCTTCGAGTCGAATGATGGTTAATGAATAAAAACGTATTTTACTAAAATCAATTCTATTTCAAAATCTCTCGAAACTAAGAAAAATTTTCAAAAATAACCATCGTCAATGTCCAACTCGTCGGTCAATGTATCGATTTACACTTGTAATCATTATGAACTGAATATTATTTATCATGAATCAATTTTCTTATATTTATATTAAGCGTAATATGAACTTTACTGTAGTCCATATAATAATGATTATGAAATATAAACATAAGATAACTCATGAATTCAACTACTATCAAACATCTAGATTTAACTACAGAACACCATATTGTACGAATGAATAAGTATTTCTATATATTATCTAATCAACTAATACATAGAGCACATTGATTTATTCAAATTATTATTTTTCTAGTCTATAAAAAACAAAAAAATATACGAGATTAAATAATTGTATTTGATTTTGCATAAAGTTTAATATTTGCAAGTAGAGGTTTTGATTCAACATATTGTTTTAATTCATCACTATTAATTACCATAATCATTGTATGTTCACCACTTAATGGTTCATCTACTGAAGTATATCGATCAAAATAACGTCGAATAAAATCTTGTTCAATTAAACGAAGAAATGTCGAAAACAAAAACAACATGATTTCTTGTTAATTTTTATGAAAAAAAAAGAAGATTAAAATTTTAATCTTTCGAAAAAACTACTTTATCATAAAAATATTTTTGATTTTTCAATACATGTATTGAATATCCATGATAAACTTGATCAAAAGTAAATTTTCTATCAATGATAATACCATTTTTATTTTCTTCATCGTCATCATTTTCATTTATTTCATCACTTATTTGATTTTCTAATTCTTCATCTATATATTTGATAACATTACTTGTCATTATTTTTTAATATTTGCATTTGAATCTAGTTGGTGTGAGTGTAGATGTGGTTATTCTATTCAAACACACGCACACTCTCAATATTCAGTGGTCTTTCTGAATTGGACAATGGTTTTGATAAAAGAATAAAATCTTAGTCTTCAGAGCAGAATTTCTAAGCATGTCTCAAGTAAGCCATGCTTCGTGAATTTCTAAAATAAACACTTTCGTCGTTTTCAGAAAAGGTTATCAAAGAGTGAAATCTCGAGCTCGATAACTAATGAAATTCATGAATCATCATCGGAACAGTGGAGTTTTAAATGTGAATCTATCAGAATGAATTACGATTCATCAGTTTAGATTAATGTACAAAAACTAGGCAAATTAGTACAACTATGAGAAATATATTTTCCAAAGAGAAAAGAAGAGATTCTGATGCATCACAGGATTTGCTGGACTTCAATAGATTCTGATCGACATACATGTCGTGCACAGGATCGACTGAAATCAATAATGATTTACTTACGCACGTGCAAGCATCAAAATTGGATTATATAACATGATAAAAGACCGAGTGGACTAAGAAAACGAAGTTCAACACGATTCAGCCCCCTTCTCCCCTCAGAAATCGATCTTTGTTCAAGAACATTCAAACTGCTTAAAATTTTCAGCCCTATGTCATAATGTTTTCGAAAGACATTCAGGTAGCAATAATAATGTATAGCACATTTAGCAATCGAAAACTCTCTGTGGTCTTTCATTCTATAAACCGGATTTTCTGTTGTTTAAAAGAGAATGTTTTTAAGAAGAAAACAGGAATGAAAAGTTCAACGTCTTGAAAAATTTTCAAAAACTGCTGCTCTAATTATATAATTACAGTTTCATCTCATAGTGGCAAAGCTTAATTCAAAAAAACGGTCTTTGTCATGCTCTGCATCTTGATATGCTCTTCTAAACGACAAAAACTATCTATTGACTATAATGAAGCATCTTCTAGAATTCCAGCATATTCAACTAAAAAAAAACGACAAAATTCTTCACTTTATCTGAAAAAATCATATTTTTCAAACAGGAAATGAAGGAAATTTTTGAAAAAAATGCCGTTCTCCATGATGAAAGAGCAGACTTGGCACTATCTTGGTTACTGGATGATCGAACTTTTAATCGGTTTTCTCTGCAGTTTCATTCAACCCGAAAAATTATACTTTGATTTTTCACTTGAAACGTCTTCCTGAAATAGATTTTCTTTAGATCAGCTTAAATAAAAAGCATTCAGAGATTTTTTGGATCACTATACCTTCAAAATATCAATTTCTTATTATCTAGACTTTTTGTGAAATAAAGCGAATATTTTGAGAATTTGATGTCTCAAATGTACATTGACTAAAATAGTTCCGAAAATTTTCTATTCCAGTTAATCTAATAGAGCTTCGCAATTAGAGAAGTTTCAAATCGAAAGAAAAACATGATTTTGCTGACAAACTGAGATCTCGTAGGAAAACGTTTGGCTTTTGAACGATAAAGATCCAGTTACAAAATTCTGTAAGCATTATACAATCTTAATCGAAAATCTGGAAAACTTATTGTGTTCTCAAAAGTTAAAATTTTTTTTATTGATATTATTTGCTTATACATAATCGAATGCTTAGTGAATTTCCAATGATTTCAAACCTACACAATCGATCAGATTTTACATTACTGTATATCTAGCATGATTTTTTTGTCATTCATACTGTAGAAATTCTTGATACATATTGATGAATGAAATTTTAAAATGTTCGTACTGAATTGATTATTTCAGGTATTTTTTGACCTTAGAAATACATCATACACTTTTTTATGTCTCCATTCGGCCATAAAAGATACAATCATACACCAATAAAACTAACTTGAATAGCAGCAACTTTTTATTAACTTCTTCTTGATTATGTTGATTGTTACTGCTCATAAAGTAATATCATAGTCAAATAATTTTGCATCATATTCTACTCTTTTTATCTATTCCCAGTAGTTATCTTGTTCTTTACTTGGTAGATGAAGAGTAATAAATGTCAAAAATTGAAAATTTTTTTCAGTTATCAGAGTCAATATTGAATGCAAATTACCAATCTACTAATTTATTGACTTGCAATCCTTGTGAGAGCTCTTATTGACATTATACAAGCCAAAAGTATACGCCTCGTTTTTTTTTCGAAAATGCCGATCCCCTTTTTTTTAATACGAGTTATCGATAGGATGCCAGCATTGTATAAAAATGAATGTCATGAATATAAATAAACAGAAATATGCAAATATCAGACATCACGCACGCAGTCTGTGACTAGTAGATAAGCAACATAAAGGTGATGTATAAATAGCAGAAAACATTACGAAGTTTTTACTTTCATCGCAATAAATAAGAATGTCTGACGACGAACAAAAAAGCTGGCCTCAATATGTTGGTCAAGATGCGAGTGAAGTTGAACAGAAAATAAAAGATGAAGGTATCTGAATTGAATATCAATATATTGATATCAATATGATATCAATATTGTCTATTCTTTAGGCTATGAACCTGTAATATTACCACAAGGTTCACCAACTACACGCGATTATCGTCTCGACCGTGTTCGTATATTCGTTGATAACAACAACAAAGTTGTTCAAACACCTACCAATGGTTAATTTTTATCTCTATTCTATAACACCAATATAGAAAGAAAACTGTGTTTTTCTTTATTTCTAATTATTCTTCTTCCAACCAGTGTAGTTTCATTTGAATAAAAATAATAATTTCCTTGGTTGCATACAAAGTTTGAAATCGTTATATTATTGTTAAAGACCAAGTAAATGATAGTATGTTGATATACAGATAAACAAAAAGAAGAACAAGAAACAAGACACGAACATGTATATTGTATATAAATATATATATAGTTGATGATGGAACACACAAGATTATATGAGATTATTCAATAATATAAGCCATAGAAACGAGAATAGGTATTTAATAAAAAAAAAAGAGCAATTGTTTTTTTTCCATGTTAGACGAAAGAAACAACGTTTCTCCATAATACTTAGACAAAAGAAAAAAAACATTAGATAGATAAACACATACATCTAATATAAGAAACCAAATCTCACAAATACATAACAAAAAGAAAAAAAGATTAGATAAGTTGAAAAAAAAAAGAGGATTCGAACAGAATGTCTTTCACTCTCTTTGGTTTGGTTATTTAGCACTATTAGATTGTATTATTATTATTATTATTATTTATAGAAGTGCACATGTTGTTTTTTTTGATTTTTTTGGCGGTTCAAGTGCAGCTAATATTGCTTCATCAAATACATTTTTTAAACCTTTCTATAAAGATAAACAACATATTTAAAAAAAAAGTTCGTTGTAAAATATCTTTTATTTTTGTCTTACTTGTGTTAATGCACTACATTCAACATATTTAACGGCTTTGAGTTCCCGTGCTAATTTTTCACCTTGTTCCAATGATGTTGGTTTTTGACGTGATTTTTGTAATTTTTCCATGGTATTTGGATCTTCTCGAAGATCAATTTGAGTACCAACAAGTAAAAATGGTGTTTTAGCACAATGATGTGAAATTTCTGGTACCCACTATTTTTATCAAACAATAAATATTATTAATATTTTTTTTGGTAAATTTAATTAGATGATATGATGGAATAAATTCAAAAAAAAAAAAACTTTTTTCTTTTTCATAATCATAAAAATCTAATTGATTAGGTCAAGGTCATGCATTTTTCATTTGACATGATGTTAATAGAATATGCAAATCGATTTGACCGATGATCAAAATTCTCATGAGACTTAGATATACTTATATCTTTATAATTAAATATTTGACGTACTTTTTCACGAACATTTTCAAATGATGATGGTGAAACAACACTAAAGCATACTAAAAATACATCCGTTTGTGGATAACTTAATGGACGGAGACGATCATAATCTTCCTGACCTAAATTTGTTTTTCAAATAGAAAGATTACAAATAAATTTATATATTAAAAATAATTAATAAAATCATACCAGCAGTATCGAATAAACCTAATGTATATGGTTCACCACCAATCATTACCGTAACAGCATAATTATCAAATACCTATTGAATATGAAAATTTTCATATAACTTGTTTTTTTTTTTGTATTTTAATAGCTAATAAAACTTACAGTTGGTACATATTCACTTGGAAATTTATTTGTTGTATAACTAATTAATAGACATGTTTTACCTAGAATTATTATTTAGCAATGAAAAGAAAATGAATGATTAATCAATGAACTAATCTTACCAACAGCACCATCTCCTACTACAACACATTTAATTGTTTGCATTGTTAAAAGTTTGAAACAGAAAAATAAGATTGTTTTTATACACTTTTTATGCACGTGCCTGAGTTAAATGATGACGTAGTTCGATATGAACAAGTAAGTAAATAAATAAATAAACAAAACAAATCAATCCATATCTTATGTCTATCCACGGGATGGGCGTCAAACAAGCACGAATTGGAACAAAGATATAATGTTAAAAGTGACCTCTATTGTTAGAACTATGTCTATCTATCCAGTACACTCAATCAAATTTTCTTTTTTTTTTTTTTTTTTTTTTTATTTTTATTATTCAAGAAACAAGCTCTATCAAATACGAAAAAAAAAACAGATGTTCATGTTATAATTAATATGAAATTTTTTTGAAAGAATCCAAATTACTTGAATAAATTTAAAAACACAATGTGTTTTTTTTTTTATTTTTTGCACTCATATTTAAATAAAATATAAGATAGAAAAAGAGTGTTTGATAAAAATTTATTTTTGTAGATATTATCTTGCAAAGAATGAATTGAATAATAATTAACGGTAGTGATGTAAATAAAAATTTACATGCAAGTGAGGTTCAGGTCCTTCACTCTTTCAGCTTGGTTTTGAGCTATATAAGACGAACAATGCTGCACTGACTATCGTAGAAGGTGCTTCAAAGATACCGACCGTTTTCGAACTGCATCGTCATCATGACACGTTATTCATGCTGTATTAATCATAACTAAATATTTTATCTTTTTTACAAAAATAAAATGTATTTGTAATATTTGAAGTAAAATATTCTTCTTTAGACATTTTTTTTATATGGTTCGATATAGTTTAACAAGCTCTGCTAGAATATAAATATACAGAATCTGATTTTGTTTTCAATACAAAACTTGGAAGAAACGAGAAATATTAATATTAATTTCATGTATCTACCATTAGAGAAATAAGTTGAAGTATTAATAACTTCAGTTGATCTACTGATTTGTGTGCTCGTGCAGCTCGAAAGAGCTATTTTCAGTTTTCGTATACGACATTACACTTCGAAATATTAATTAGCAGTCAAGTAACTAATGTTATCAAAATTTAACCATACTATCTGATGCTACGTATAAAAGACATTTATTCATCTGACTGATTTCTTCCGCATTTTGTTTTGGAAATAGTATCAGAAGATTTTTTTTTTCATGTTCAGCTTTTTGTAGAGCTTGTTGAACTCTATCGAATCTGATAAAGATTTGTAGAAATTGTATGTTTTACTCAACTATAATCATTCAGACAGTTCAAAAGTAATTGTTGCTGTCGAAAAATGTAAGATGTAAAATGCCTATTCTTTCTCTATAAAATTGTTTATTTCAGTCAACTATTGGCAGATGTATTTGTATAAATAACGTCAATTTGAAGAGAGCAGTCGAAACTTTTCGACAACACACTTTACATGTGTAACTAGCTACGTATATTGAATTCTAAACTATAAAACTAACTAATTATATCAATATAAAATACACATTGAAAAAAGATCGAAATTGGTTATGATTCTTGTTCTCACACTTAAACATTTACTGATGAATAGATTTTAATTTTTAAATTTATTTATTCATATATATCAATGGATAGAACGTTCTAACATAAAATATTATAAACTATTTCATTTTACGCTTTGTCCGACCTATCTTTTTTTTTGATAAGGTGTCTCTATTCAATAAATATAAATAAGTTACAAATGTCATCTTTTTTTCTCAAACCATTGTGAAAAACATAACATGAACAGAAAGAATTGTAACAATGATGATGCTTGTAACTACGTCAACAAAAGTAATTATAATAATTTTCTTTTTTTTTGTTCTTCAATATTTCATTGTTTCTTCATTTTCTTTACATATTGATAAAAATATGTACGTATTGAACTATCGTTTTGAATAAACTCATACACATCATACGACGATCACTCAAGTCTAAAAAGTACACTTCATGGATCTTCAACATTATAGGGCATACATCCTGTCAGAGATGAGAAGGAAACAAGTAATAAACAACATGCTATAAAAGTAATCTAAAACATTTTATCAAAAAAAAAAAAGAACAAGATGACAAGCAAACAGTTTGATGCCATGCATATGTCTTAGCAGTGTCAATTGATGAACGACAAACTAATACAAATTTAATGGAGAAAAAATAAACATTGATGTACATTTGAAGAGAAAAAAAAGTAGATCTGTCAGATTAAAAAAATCGTTATCTAAAATTGTTTCAAATGTGACTAAGCGAGTATTAATAAAAGAGTACGATTTGAATTTTGAACGATAATAATAGATATATAATAAGTCACAAATGAAATTCATGATCAATAGGAAAAAAAGAGAGAAATTGAAGGATAATAATGACGACTAATCTTATCATGCGTATATTATTTTCTTTCCGACATAAAATACAATGAAAACAAAATTCTTTTTACATAGAAAAACTTTGATAATTGAAAAATGATTGAAATTGCAATCATTAGTTTGCTTTCCTCTTGTTTTGATCGTGTGATTCTTATAACGACCTTTATGAAGATAAAATAGGCAACACTGTACTCATGTATTGATGACAGAAGGGAATATCTGTTTGTCGATAACCCGTACAATATTCTTTTATATTTGCTGTTCTAGCTTCTGATGATGGTCTTCTTACGTCAGTCAACATAGAATAAAAAATTGTAAGATAGAAGTATTATTTCCTTTTCTTCATACAACTTTAAAGGAATTCGAACGTATGACAACAATTTTTTCATTTTCGTTGTTTATCAAAGACATAAATGAGTCGATTGCCCGACATTGATTTTAGTAACAAGGAACTAACATCTATCTATGGCTATTGGAGTCAACCACTTATTTCACTTGAACAAGCCTTAAAACTCATAGTACGTCATATAGATTAGCTGACTTGCTATGTCAAAGTAGTCAAACAACACTGTCATTATCCATTAGAATTGGGCCTCACTCATGATGAATCGGCTATCGTGTATTTGTAAACAATGAAATGGAGCAATGAAAGTTTTTATCTTGTATTCAATCAAACACTACGAAGCGAAGATCGAAACATCCTTCAATCATGGTTCTCCTATCTCAATCTATTCAATATGGCACTCAAGAAATTTTCCAGCATGAAAGAAAATATTTAGCGAGGTGTAGATCATAACATAAGCATGAATTTCTAGAAAAACCAAGATTTCAGTTGATGGAGTGTCAGCTGATGAAGCGTGGCTGGTTACACAAGTTTTTTCCAAGAGAATGAAGTCTTGCTACGATCAGGCACTCGACTTCCTGTGAAGAGTAACACACTGGATCATGTCGGTTGTCTAC